AATGAAATTATTCTCCGGTTCAATTGTCACCGCAAAACTTGGCATGGCTGGAAAATTAAGAAAAGGAAAGGAGTTCAGTTTGGTATTATTCATATATATGAACAAATGAATTTACACGGATTCTTATTGAATTGCATCCAACAAGACATAAATCCCATATACAGTATATAGGGAGAGAATGGAAGAGGAAGAGAATGAGGAGAAGGAAGAAGAGATCAAAGGGCATCTAGACACAGTCAAAACCCTCCCAACAGATGGCCATCCAGCTTCATTTCAAAAACCTCCAGAGAAAGAGACCCTACTGGACTCCAAGGCAGATTATACTTCATTAGAGATGGAAAACTCTCAAAGGGCATCTAGTCCAACCCCCTTCTGTCAGACAAGGACACACAATTAAAGCCCTCCCAGCAGAAGACCATTTAGCCTCAAGGAGATTCAATTGGACTCCCAGGCAGTCTATACTTCATTATAGTTGGACGATACCCCCTAAAGGGCATCTATCCCAACCCCTTTTGGCTAGGCAGGAAGACACAATCAAAGCACCCCCAACAGATGGCTATCTAGCCTCTGTTAGAGGCCCCTAGAGGGCATCTAGTCCAACCCCCTTCAGCCAGAATCAACTGTAGGGCATAAGAAGCATCAAGGGAAAGATTCCAAACCATGTTTACACAGTAAAGAAAGACAATATGAATATGGTACACAATTCTTTCTAAGAGGTTGGTTTGAGATCTGGTTTGCTAGTAAAACTGAGTGACTGAATTTCATGAAAGGAAGCTCTGCTACAGGCAATATAATTCGGAAGAAACACTCCAGGAAGCATCCGCATTACCATATTCTTTCACTTGAAACCGCGTCTGAGCTGTGGTCGTGAAGTCCTTCTGATACTTTGCTTTAATGGTCCAAGTGCCAAATCTATGGGGGGAAAGAGTGAAAAATACATAAGAGAGAAACCCAAATTTCCCTAGAAAAGGACTCCAATAAGTCAAGCCCCAATGATTTAAGGCTTTGAGACAGTGGCTGGGTTGCCATCTGTTGGGAGGGATTAGATTGTGTGCTTCTAATAATAATAATAATAATAATAATAATAATAATAATAATAATCTCTATTTATACCCCGCCACCATCTCCCCAAATAAAACCAAAGCATAAAACAACAACACAATAAAATAGATAAAACACAAGAATACAGTAAACAATATACAATAGAGTAAAGGTAATTCACAATCTCAGTAACAATAAACCTGGCAGAAAGAAGGAGGCTGGACTGGATGAGAAAGCAAACATTCTGATATTATTATTTTTATTATTATTACTACTACTACTACTAGCTGTCCCCTGCCACGTGTTGCTGTGGCCATCTGTATATATGTGTTTTGTGTGCATATTTGTGTATATGTGTATATACACATATAGAGATGAGCACCAACCCCCAAAGTCAGAAACAACTGGACTTAATGTCAGGGGAAAACGTTTACCTTTATCTATGTGTGTTTGTGTGTGTGTGTGTGTGTGTGTGTGTGTGTATTGTCGAAGGCTTTCATGGCTGGAATCACTCAGTTCTTGTGGGTTTTTTCGGGCTATATGGCCATGTTCTAGAGGCATTTCTCCTGACGTTTCGCCTGCATCTATGGCAAGCATCCTCAGAGGTAAGGTCCTCACCTCTGAGGATGCTTGCCATAGATGCAGGCGAAACGTCAGGAGAAATGCCTCTAGAACATGGCCATATAGCCCGAAAAAACCCACAAGAACTGATATATATATATAGTTTTGCACATGTGTTGTTTTTTGGCTTTTTAAGTCTCTTCTGCTGTGTTTTTCAGTGTTTTTATGAGTGGTGGTCACTCGTATGCCTGATAGGTGTCTTGTGTCCAAATTTGGTGTCAATTCATCCAATGGTTTTGGAGTTATGTTAATCCCATAAACGAACATTACATTTTTATTTATATACACTAGCTGTCCCCTGCCACGTGTTACTGTGGCCCAATCTGTGCATATCTGCTTTGTGTGTGTATATATTTGTGTAGGTAAAGGTTTTCCCCTGACATGAAGCCTAGTCATGTCTGACTCTGGTGGGTGGTGCTCATCTCCATTTCTAAGCTGAAGAGCTGGTATTGTCCGTAGACACCTCCAAGGTCATGTGGCCGGCATGACTGCATGGAGCGCTGGTACCTTCCTGCCAGAGCGGTACCTATTGATCTACTCACATTTGCATGTTTTAGAACTTCTAGGTTGGCAGAAGCTGGGGCTAACAATGGGAGCTCGTGCCGCTACCCAGATTTGAACCTGCAACATATGTGTGTTTGCATATATGTGTGTGGTTTTGTGCATGCGTTGTAATGTAATTTTAGTTTTTTTGGGTTTTTAAGTCCCTTCTGCTGTGTTTTTCAGTGTTTTTATGAGTGATGGTCACTCGTTGGCCTGATAGGTGTATTGCGTCCAAATTTGGTGTCAATTCGTCCAGTGGTTTTGGAGTTATGTTAATCCCACAAACTAACATTACGTGAAGAGGGCGCAATGCTCGATGTTTCCACCGGATGGCAGCAAAGGATGACACATAGGAGTCCAGGGCAGAGAGATGCCCCATAGGCTTCAATGGAGGGGCAGAATAACAAAAGGACGCAATGCTCGATGCGTCCATCAGAGGGCGGCAAAGGACTACACAGGATTATACATTTAGCTTTTTGGGGTTTTAAGTCTTTTCTGCTGTTTTTTTGGGAGAAGTTATGTGTGATGGTCACTCCTTGGGTCAGTAGGCATAGTGTGGCCAAATTTGGTGTCATTTCATTCCATCGTTTTTGAGTTATGAGGTCCCCACAAACGAACAGAACATTTTTATATAGATTATTATTATATGATTAACCAAACAAATGTCCTGTCAATATTGTAAGCCAGCAGTATATTGTATATTTGCTGATTGCCAAACATGTCAACGATTTTATTTTGCATTTTTAAGAATATTCTTACTTAGGATACGGAGGAATTTTGAAGTCGGGGAAAGATATAATACCGGTGACGTCGTCTTCCTTTATTATATCCACTTCTACTCCTTCTGGATCCTAAACAGGAGCGAAAAGGGGCTTGTTAATTTTTAATAGCAATACATTTTATTTATTACCTGCCTTTCTTTTTGGCTTGAAGTGGGACACAACGTAGTCAAATACATCAATAACAGGAATAATAGTAATGATGATGATGATGATGATGATGATGATGATGATGATGATGATGATAATAATAATAGGCAGGTAATAACTATTTATTTATTTATTGTGTTAGAAGCGAATTGGGCCAGACATGTCACTGACTTTGTCCTTTCACTGCTAGCTGCTATCGGATATCAGGTGGTGCAATACTGGATAAAAAGTATAATTTTTCCAACAATCAGGGCCAGCTGGCACCTTCCAATGAAGGATTCCCCAGGCAGGAAGTAGCTAGGCTCTGAAGCGGGTATTCAATGCTAATCAAGGTGGCCAATTGCAACATTCACACTTGCCACCAACAGACAAGAGTTCTTTCTCCAACCCTGGACATTATTTCACAGATATATAAACCCCACTTGCCTCGTTTCCAACATTTTTCACAACTTTTATTTATTTATTCATTCATTTATTTACTATATTTGTATACCGCTCTTCTCAGCCCTTGGGCGACTCAGAGCGGTTCACAATAGCAAAATCAATTAAAGCAATAGCATTATAAGAATCAATTAAACATCATAACTTTTAGGATTCCTTCCATAGATGTGGGTGAAACGTCAGGAGAGAACGCTTCTGGAACATCATCAGACAGCCCGGAAAACTCACAGCAACCCAGTGATTCCAGCCAACACAATAATGATAATAGTTTTGCATTTTGTCTCCATTCATTCGGATGGACTTACCACAAAGGTCAGGGTGGCTGCTCTTCGAGCTGGCCTTAGCTCTTCATTCAGAGAATACACCCGAACTTTTACTGCAGGGATAATAATTTACAAACAAAAGGTATTGCATTAATGCAAAGAAATGCAACATTGTCCTACATTCTTTCAACTGAGGACTATAGATCAGCGTTTCTCAACCTGGGGGTTGGGACCCTGGGGGGGGGGGTTGCGAGGGGGTGTCAGAGGGGTGCCAAAGACAACCAGAAAACAATATATTTTGGTCCTGGGGGTTCTGTGTGGAAAGTTTGGTCCAATTCCATCGTTGGTGGAGTTCAGAATGCTCTTTGATTGTAGGTGAACTATAAATCCCAGCAACTATAACTCCCAAATGTGAAGGCCTGTTTTCCCCAAACTCCACCAGTGTTCACATTTGATCATACTGAATATTTGTGCCAAGTTTGGTCCAGATCCATCATTGTGTGAGTCCACAGTGCTCTCTGGATGTAGGTGAACTAGAACTCCAAAACTCAAGGTCAATGCCCACCAAACCCTTCCAGTATTTTCTGTTTGTCATGGGAGTTCTGTGTGCCAAGTTTGGTTCATTTCTATCATTGGTATTCAGAATGCTCTTTGACTGTAGGTGAACTATAAATACCAGCAACTACAACTCCCAAAGGTCAAAGTGTATTTTCCCCAAACTCCACCAGTGCTCAAATTTGGGCATATTGAGTATTTGTGCCAAGTTTGGTCCAGATCTATCATTGTTAGAGTCCATAGTGCTCTCTGTATGTAGGTGAACTACAACTCCCAAACTCAATGTCAATGCCCACCAAACCCTTCCAGCATTTTCAGTTGGTCATGGGAATTCTGTGTGCCAAGTTTGGCCCAGATTCATCCTTGTTTGAGTCCACAGTGCTCTCTGGATGTAGGTAAACTACAACTCCCAAACTCAAGGTCAGTGCCCACCAAACCCTTCCAGCATTTTCTGTTGGTCATGGGAGTTCTGTGTGCCAAGTTTGGTCCAGATCCATCCTTGTTTGAGTCCACAGTGCTCTCTGGATGTAAGTGAACTACAACTCCCAAACCCAAGGTCAATGCCCACTAAACCCTTCCAGTATTTTCTGTTCATCATGGCTGTTTTGTGTGCCAAGTTTGGTTCATTTCCATCATTGGTGGAGCTCAGAATGCTCTTTGATTGTAGGTGAACTATAAATCCCAGCAACTACAACTCCCAAATGACAAAATCAATCTTTCCCCAACCCCAGCAATATTGACATTTGGGCGTATCCGGTATTTGTGCCAAATGTGGTCCAATGAATCAAAATACATCTTGCATATCAGATATTTACATTACGATTCATAACAGTAGCAAAATAACAGTTATGGAGTAGCAACGAAAATAATGTTATGTTTGGGGGTCACCACAAATGAGGAACTGTATTAAAGGGTCACACTATTAGGAAGGTTGAGAAACACTGGTCTAGATGAACAATGGGATCTTCACAAAACTATAAACCATATCGCAGCAACAATTCAGAGCAGCAGCTATTAAATGGGAAAGCCTTTACCTCTCTGATCTGGAGTGTAAATCGGTTTGTCCGTCTGGACAAAGAGGAACCCATTGTCATAGGAAACCGGCATTTTCTTCTCTTTCGTAAAATGTGGGGAAACGGCTTCCAAATATACATATTGGATTGGATTCTGTGGGTCTCTGCTGGTCAAGTCCTTTGGCTGGAGCTAGAAACGAAAGCATGGAGACATAAGTCATGTTTACATAAGGCCCTTCCAGACAAGCCCTATATCCCAGGATCCGATCCCTGGTTTTCTGCTTTAATGTGGATTATACGAGCATGAGTCCGCACTGCCAGATAATCTGGGATAAACAGAAAACCTGGGATCAGATCCTGTGATATAGAGCATGTCTGGAACGACCAACAGTTACTCGTTAGTGTGAGATTCATTGAAAAACTACCGCAAAATGTGCCGCAGGATGATGTCCCGCTCGCAAAAATAAACTTTTTTTGCACTTTAATATACTTTGTCCATGTTGTTTATGATAGAACCAATTAGGAAATTGCATTTATAATCCAGGATCAAAAATCATTGCATAGTGTAACAGTAGCAACAACAAAAACAACAACAACAACAACAAGGACCGTGTTGTGGCGCAGCTGGTTGGCGAGATTGGTGGGGACGAGGGAGAGGGCCTTCTCGGTGGTGGCCCCTCAACTCTGGAACTCACTCCCCAAGGACATCAGGCATGCCCCAACTTTGGCAATCTTTAGGAGGAGCCTGAAAACATTGTTGTTCCAGTGTGCCTTCCCAGAATAAGGAAACTTGGGGAGATGGTAGCGGGGTACAAATAAAGTATTATTATTATTATTATTATTATTATTATTATTATTATTATTATTACTGGGAGTTAGCTGCATTAAAATCACTACTGAGTTCTAAGCCAGCCTGGGTCGGAGTGAACTTCCGGCCATTTGTCTAGCTTGCTGTCGACCTTTGCAGCCTGAAAGACAGTTGCCTCTGTCAAGTAGGAAATTTAAGTACCGCTTATGCGGAAGTAACTAATTTACGACGACATAAAATTCTCCAGCAGCATGCAAAAGAATGAGGAAGTACTCCATCGATGTCACAAGTGGATGGTGAAGCGATATGATAGAACCAATTAGGAAATTGCATTTATAATCCAGGATCAAAAATCATTGCATAGTGTAATAGTAACAACAACAAAAACAACAACAAAAACAACAACAACCAACAACAAGGACCGGGTTGTGGCAGAGCTGGTTGGGAGTCAGCTGCATTAAATCACTACTGACCGAAAGGTCATGAGTTCAAAGCAAGCCTGGGTCAGAGTGAGCTTCTGGCCATTTGTCTAGCTTGCTGTCGACCTTTGCAGCCTGAAAGACAGTTGCCTCTGTCAAGTAGGAAATTTATGTACCGCTTATGCGGGGGTAACAAATTTACGGCACCATAAAATTCTCCAGCAGCATGCAAAAGAATGAAGAAGTACTCCATTTGTGTTACAAGTGGACGGTAGGGTCAGAGTGAGCTTCCGGCCATTTGTCTAGCTTGCTGTCAACCTTTGCAGCCTGAAAGACAGTTGCCTCTGTCAAGTAGGAAATTTAGGTACCGCTTATGCGGGGGTAAATAATTGATGACACCATAAAATTCTCCAGCAGCATGCAAAAGAATGAGCAAGTACTCCATCGGTGTCACAAGTGGACGGTAGGGTCAGAGTGAGCTTCCGGCCCTTTGCCTAGCTTGCTGTCAACCTTTGCAGCCTGAAAGACAGTTGCCTCTGTCAAGTAGGAAATTTAGGTACTGTTTATGCGGAGAGGCTAATTTAACTAATTTACAATGTCATAAAACTCCCCAGCAGCGTGCAAAAGAATGAGGAAGTACTTCATCGGTGTCACAAGTGGACGGTAGGGAGCCACCAGTGGTGCAGTGGGTTAAACTCCTGTGCCAACAGGACTGAAAACCGATAGGTTGCAGGTTTGAATCCGGGGAGAGGCGGATGAGCTCCCTCTATCAGCTCCAGCTCTCCATGTGGGGACATGAGAGAAGCCTCCCAGAAGGATAGCAAAACATCAAAACATCTGAGCAACGTCCCCTGGGCAACGTCCATGCAGACGGCCAATTCTCTCACACCAGAAGCGACTTGCAGTTTCTCAAGTTGCTCCTGACACGACAACAAAACAAAACAAAACAAAAAACAAGTGGACGGTGAGGCAACAGCTCCCCCGGTGGCCAGAATTCAAAGCATGCCCTCATGAAGCTGGAAAGTTAAATAGCCACTGTGTGCCTGTCTATATATCTGTTGTGTGTCTATGGCATTGAATGTTTACCATGTATATGTGCATTGTGATCCACCCTGAGGCTCTTGCGGGGTGAGAAGGGCGGAATATAAATACTGTAAACAAACAAACAACAACAACAAATTCATTACCTTGACCAACAAACTGCTAGATTTTTATTTTTTTCATCTTTCTATTGCGCATTTTGCTATGGTTTTGCCATGGATATCTCATCATTGAGTCTCAGCCAAGTCAACATGGTTTGTGGCAGCCAAAAGAACAAGGTTTCTGGAGTAGAACAACTACTTTCAAAGTAAGGACCACACAGTCAAACAGGAATAAAGCTTTCAAACCAGGAACCGAACAGGTTTCAAATTGGGTTGCAACATAGAAGAGGATTGAGGGTCATAAATGTGGTGAAACTACCCTCTCTTCGGTGCAGCTCTGGGCTTTCTCAAGCTTGGCACCAGCTTGGTAAATAGAGGGCTGCAAATGACACAATGTGCCATTGTAATGCAGAAGGAAGAACTATTTCAGTAGTGGGAATGCCACATCAGTAGGAGGATATGGGCCAAACACCTGATGCTTTCTATATGTTGTTTACCAAGTACTAACTAAGGCCTTCCTCTTGGGCACACAGAAGATTGGGTGACTTCAAAGGCGCTGAACAGGTCCGTCCTCTGTTCGGATATCAGCCAGCATATCATCGCCTTAAATCAAGAAATAGTTTTACAAGATACAGAATGGGGGACGATGCCTGGCTCGAGAGCAGTACGTGTGAAAAAGATCTTGGAGTCCTCGTGCACAACAAGTTAAACATGAGCCAACAATGTCATGCAGCGGCAAAAAAACCCAATCGGATTTTGGCCTGCGTCAATAGGAGCATAGTGTCTAGATCTAGGGAAGTCATGCTACCCTCTATTCCGCCTTGGTTAGACCACACCTGGAATATTGTGTCCAATTCTGGGCACCACAATTCAAGAGAGATATTGACAAGCTGGAATGTGTCCAGAGGAGGGCGACTAAAATGATCCAGGGTCTGGAGAACAAGCCCTATGAGGAGCGGCTTAAAGAGCTGGGCATGTTTAGCTTGCAGAAGAGAAAGCTGAGAGGAGACAGAATGAGGGCCATGTATAAATATGTGAGGGAAAGTCCTAGGGAGGAGGGAGCAAGTTTCCTTTCTGCTGCCTTGGAGACCAGGATGTAGAACAATGGCTTCAAACTACAAGAAAGGAGATTCCATCTGAACATTAGGAAGAACTTCCTGACTGTGAGAGCTGTTCAGCAGTGGAACTCTCTGCCCCGGAGTGTGGTGGAGGCTCCTTCTTTGGAGGCTTTTAAACAGAGGCTGGATGGCCATCTGTCGGGGTGCTTTGAATGCAATTTTCCTGCTTCTTGGCAGGGGGTTGGACTGGATGGCCCATGAGGTCTCTTCCAACTCTATGATTCTAAGAAATAGTTTTACAAGATCTACAGAGATAATCGCAGGAACACCTCAGCAAGCCAGAGTCCAAATGTGGCAGACTATTTATTTATCGTGTCAGGAGCGAACCAAAACAGTTATATTGTATTCAAAACAAACAAACAAAACACAAATTTTGCAGGCTTGGTATTCTGTTAGGAATTGTGAGTTAGAGTCCAAAACACCTGGAGGGAGAAGTTTGCCCATGCCTGGTTTACATGTATTCACACCGGAATCAGCCATTTATTAAGGATTCCGATTTTAGCCTGCCAGTCTCTGGCACTTGGAGTGCCTCTGGTGTTGCCGCAAGGAGGTCCTCCATTGTGCATGTAGCAGGGCTCAGGTTGCATGGCAGCAGGTGGTCTGTAGTTTGCTCTTTTCCACACTCGTGGATTCCACTTTGTAGCCCCATTTCTTAAGGTTGGCTCTGCATCTCGTGGTGCCAGAGAGCAGTCTGTTCATATTCAGCACCTTCCAAGTCGCTTAGTCTTCTGTGTGCCCAGGGGGGAGTCTCTCACTTGGTATCAGCCATTGATTGAGGTTCTGGGTTTGAGCCTGCCACTTTTGGACTCTCGTTTGCTGAGGTGTTCCAGCGAGTGTCTCTGTAGATCTTAAGTCTTGACGTGCTGGCTGATACCCAAACAGGGATGAGCTGGAGATGTCTCACTGCCTTGGTCCTTTCACTATTGGCTGCTACTTCCCCGGATGTCAGGTGGTGCAATTACCGGCTAAACAGTGTAATTTCTCCAGTGGGGTGTAGGGGTGCAGACACCCCGTGATAATGCGGCATGTCTCATTAAGAGCCACATCCACTGTTTTAGCATGGTGAGATGTGTTCCACACTGGGCATACTCAGCAGCAGAGTAGCATAGCGCACGGGCAGTTGTCTTCACTGTGTCTGGTTGTGATCCCTAGGTTGTGCCAGTCAGCTTTCGTATGATATTGTGGCAGACTAAAATGTGGAAACCCAATCCATGGCTGATATGAAATGAGAGACTTCCCCCTGGGCACACACAAGACTGGGAGAATTATCACAGCAGGTCTATTCCCTACATCACTGTAAAGATTATACTGTTTAGCCGATATTGCACCACCTGATATATGTCAACAATGAAAAGACCAAGGCATTGACATCTCCGACACATCCTCTGTCCGGATATCAGCCAACAAGTCAATGCCTTAAATCAAGAAATAGCTTCCCAAGATCTGCAAAGATCTTGGGAAGCTATTTGGGACCATAATAAAATGTTGTTGTACAGAGATACTTGCAGGAACACCTCAGCAAGCGAGAGTCCAAAAGTGGCAGGCTAAAATCTGAAACCTTAATCAGTTACTCATTCTGGTGTGAATACATGTAAACCAGGCATGGGAAAACTTCTCCCTCCAGGTGTTTTGGACTCCAACCCCCACAATTCCTAACGGCCGGTAGGCTGTTAGAATTGTGGGAGTTGGAGTCCAAAACACCTGGAGGGCCAAAGTTTGCCCATGCCTGCTCTAAACCTTTTGTAACCACATTTCTAAGTCACGTTATTGGTATTATGATCTATATAGTATATACATTTCCTTTGTTTATACCTTGATCTTCAATACATTCTTTAGTTATAAACATTTAATTCATTTTCCATAATAAAAAGCCACCCATGTTGCCCACTCAGCCAGTAATGAAAGGACCAAGGCATTGACATCTCCAGCCCATCATCTGTTTGGGTATCAACCAGCAAGCCAACACCTTAAATCAAGAAACAGTTTCCTAACATCTACAGAGATACTCGTAGGAACACCTCAGCAAGCAAAAAGTGGGTGCTAGAAACAATATCATATGAAAACTGACTGGCACAACCTGGGGATCACAACCAGATACAGTGAAGACATCTGCCCTTGCGCTGTGCTACTCTGCTGCTGAGTATGCATGCCCAGTGTGGAACACATCTCACCACACTAAAACAGTGGATGTGGCTCTTAATGAGACATGCCGCATTATCACGGGGTGTCTGCGCCCTACACCACTGGAGAAATTACCCTTTAGCTGGTATTGCACCACCTGACATCCGCCAATAGCGAAAGGACCAAGGCAGTGACATCTCCAGCTCATCCCCTGTTTGGGTATCAGCCAGCACGTCAACGACTTAAATCAAGAAATAGTTTTTTAAGATCTACAGAGACACTCGCTGGAACACCTCAGCAAGCGAGAGTCCAAAAGTGGCAGGCTCAAACCCAGAACCTCAACCAATGGCTGATACCAAATGAGAGACTCCCCCCTGGGAACACAAAAAAACTGGGCGACTTGGAAGGCGCTGAACAGACTGCGCTCTGGCACCACGAGATGCAGAGCCAACCTCAAGAAATGGGGCCACAAATTGGAATCTTCGACATGCGAGTGTGGAGAGGAGCAAACCACTGACCACCTGCTGCAATGCAACCTGAGCCCTGCCACATGCACAATGGAGGACCTTCTTGCGGCAACACCAGAGGCACTCCAAGTGGCCAGATACTGGTCAAAGGACATTTAATCAACTACCAAACTCGCAAATTTTGTATTTTGTCTGTCTGTTTGTTTGTTTTGTTCTGTTAGAAATGTAATACAATTAACTGGTTGCCCTGACACGACAAATAAATAAATAAATTTAATTCATTTTTCATAATAAAAAGCCACCCATGTTACCCACTCAGCCAGTAACGAAAGGACCAAGTCATTGACATCTCTAGCCCATCCTCTGTTTGGATGTCAACCAGCAAGCCAACACCTTAAATCAAGAAACAGCTTCCTAAGATCTACAGAGATACTCGTAGGAGCACCTCAGCAAGCAAGAGTCCAAAAGTGGCAGGCTAAAACTCGGAATCAGTGGCTGAGACCGGATGAGAAACTCTCTTCTGGTTTTTCTGTACAGTATAACGCTACTTTAACCCATTCCACATTGCTTTGGCTCCGCACTAAGAGGACCGTATGACACGAATAATGTGCACCCCAATCTTGGCAAGGTCACTTAACCTAAATAGGTGAGCATTAGATTCGAATAAATATGGTATTCGATTCGACGGTGTGTGAGACTCGAAGAAATGTGGACCTCCTTCAGTCTGCACCCTCAGCGTTATTACCTACCGTTAAAGTGACAGAGCCTTGGAACAAGTTCGGCTTCAACTCGGTGCGGCCAGAAGCAAACGTGGTCTGTTTATCCGGGAAGCTCTTGAGAGACACGGTCACCGGAAAGGCCTCCGAATAGCCAAAGGCTTGGACCACCACCGTTTCGGAGGCTGCGACGCGGAGGTATTTGGGGGCCGAAATGACGTACCTGCAACAGGAGAAAGGCACGCAGGTGATGACACCGTGGTTTTTGTTCCTGAGTTATCAATGTCATTTCCTAATTGGTTCTACGAGGGTTGAATGAAAAGTAATGCCTCCACCTTCGTTGCTTGGGTTTGGGTGGGAATATTTTAATAAATCAAACGCAGAAATGATCCTTAGAACAGTGGTTCTCAACCTTCCTAATGCCACGACCCCTTAATACACTTCCTCGCGTTATGGTGACCCCCCAACCATAAAATTAGTTTCATTCCTACTTCGTAACTGTCATTTTGCTGCTTTTATGAATCGTAATGTAAATACCTAATATACAGGATGTATTTTCATACACTGGACCAAATTGGGCACAAATACCCAATACACCCAAATTTGAATACTGGTGGGATTGGGGGAGGGTGTTGATTTTGTCCTATGGGAGTTGTAGTTGCTAGGATTTATAGTTCACTTACAATCAAAGAGCATTCTGAACTCCACCAATAATGGAATTGAATCAAACCTAGCACACAGAACTCCCATGACCAACAGAAAATACTGGAAGGGTTTGGTGAGCATTGACCTTGAGTTTTGGAGTTGTAGTTTACCTACATCCAGAGAGCACTGTGGACTCAAAGAATTATGGATCTCGACCAAACTTGGCACCAATTCTCAATATGCCCAAATGTAAACACTGGTGGAGTTTGGGGAAAATAGATCTTGACATTTGGGAGTTGTAGTTGCTGGGATTTATAGTTCACCTACAATCAAAGAGCATTCTAAACCGCACCAATGATAGAATTGGGCCAAACCTCCCACACAGAACCTGCGTGACCAACAGAAAATACTGTGTTTTCTGGTGGTCTTTGGTGATCCCTCTTCTGACACCCCCTTGCGACCCCTCCAGGGGTCCCGGCCCCCAGGTTGAGAAATACTGCCTTAGAATGTGCTCTTTAACTACCACTATTCACTTTTCCACATAATCACCAGACAATTGGATACATTTTTGCCAACATTGAACAATTTTTCTGAAGCCGTCACAGAAGAAGTCGACATTCTGTTTCCACAACCAGCATCTCATAGTTCGCTCATCCTGGGTACCCATCGTGCACAGATCTTCCGACAGCCAAGCAAAGCAATAATGTAAAATGCTAATTATGCTTGAAATTTCTCTCTGAGTGATACGACGATCGTCCTGAATCAATCTGTCAACCTTTTCTTGTGGAACTCGGTGGTTGCTGTCACAGGACGTCCAACTCTTTCTTTGTCATGCAGGTCAGATATTCCCACCTCAACATCTATAAACTTACTCGCCCAATGACGTATCAACACAATCACCATAAACAGCTTGCATTCTCAGATGAATCTCCTTTGGGGTGACACCTTCTGCTGTCAAGAATTCAATGACTGCACGTTGCTTAAGTCGCACTGACCTACCATCTGCACAGGGTTCCATACTTCGCACTTTAACGACACAACCGTTCAATGCTAAGCTTCCCGCCAAAATGGAACTGTAGAGGAGAGTCTACTGAACAAGCCAGTACCTGCCATATGCGTTGCTTAAGTCACATTGACCTACCATCAGCGCAGGGTTCCATACTTCACACTTTAACAACACCACCGTTCAATGCTAAGGATCCCGCTAAAATGGAACTGTAGAGAAAAGTCTACTGAACAAGCCAGTACCTGCCATATGCATTGCTCAAGTCGCATTGACCGACTGTCATAGAATCATAGAATCAAAGAGTTGGAAGAGACCTCATGGGCCATCCAGTCCAACCCCCTGCCAAGAAGCAGGAATATTGCATTCAAATCACCCCTAACAGATGGCCATCCAGCCTCTGTTTAAAAGCCCTTCCAAAGAAGGAGCCTCCACCACACTCTGGGGCAGAGAGTTCCACTGCTGAACGCTCTCACAGTCAGGAAGTTCTTCCTAATGTTCAGATGGAATCTCCTTTCTGTAGTTTGAAGCCATTGTTCCGTGTCCTAGTCTCCAGGAAGCAGAAAACAAGCTTGCTCCCTCCTCCCTGTGGCTTCCTCTCACATATTTATACATGGCTATCATATCTCCTCTCAGCCTTCTCTTCTTCAGGCTAAACATGCCCAGCTCCTTAAACCGCTCCTCATAGAGCTTGTTCTCCAGACCCTTGATCATTTTAGTCGCCCTCCTCTGGACACATTCCAGCTTGTCAATATCTCTCTTCAATTGTGGTGCCCAGAATTGATGCTAAGGCATCCTGCCAAAATGGAACTGTAGAGGAGAGTCTACTGAACAAGCCAGTACCTACTGCATACCATTATTGCCATCCGTTGAGGAGTTACGAAGGTGGAGGCATTACTTTTCATTCAACCCTCGTATCTAATGGTAAGAATATGAAACAATATGTTCAAACGACACAAATCCAGCCATAGCATCCCAAGGAAGAAGGAAAAGACAGAAGGAGAAGGTGTGTCGTAAAGCATTAAATGCAATTTGCAGGGAAGGTAAATACATAACAGTGAAAAGTGGACTTACGTTTGCTCCTGAGTCCAACTTTCCCCACAAAAGGTCAGAAATAAAAAAACGCTCCAAAGATCCATGATGGTTGTGTCCCTCTGCTTAGCCTTTCCTGGGGATTCGTGCACGAATTGATCGGACGGTTAATGATTCACATGGTTATCAAACCTTAGAAGAGGATTCCCATGCTATTGTTAGCAAACAAAAATCCCCTTTGCTGAGCTCCTTTCCTTGTTTCTGTCTGTATTTGCAGAAGAGCACATTCCCGTCTTGAGCCAGGAAGTCACACAAGTCCTTCCTCTCGTGGTTTCGCTGTTGAGCCATTCCCCTTTTGATTCCTCTTCTCGCTTTATTTTGATAGATTAACTTTGATACTCGTCTCCGGCTGCTGTTCTCGATCTATAAAGGTCAAAGGATGCCTGTATGTTTTTTGGTTTGATCCACAAACCACTGTATTAAAGGCACTGAATGTTTGCCTATCAGTGTACGTTGTAATCCACTCTGAGTGCTCTCGGGGAGAGAGAGCGGAATAGAAATAAAAATAATAATAATAATTATTATTATTATTATTATTATTATTATTATTATTATTTGAAACACAACAAGATGAGTCCACAGCAGACACTTTGCTGGCTGTTGTATTGGATCACACATCGGACACTTCCCAAGTGTCTATTATTATTATTATTATTATTATTATTATTATTTGAAACACAACAAGATGAGCCTAAAGTCGATAGGAACTTTAGGAGGGTCTGCCCCAGGAGGAGAGACCTTGCGGACCCACCAAAGAGGGAACACTACTTTGGCAAGCAAAGAGAAGCCTGATTTTAAGCAATATTTATTTCCCTAATTTCCCAGAAAAAGTCTCACCAAAGTTGAAGTAGCGCCACCGAGATGTTTTATTTACGATTCAGCTGAAAAGGATGCAATGCAGCAATCATTCGCCAAGCAGAGCATGTGGTTACAGAAATAAACGCTATTTTTATAGAAATACAGAGTTGTGTGGTTCAAATCTCCTGCTCCCACCCCCCCGGCCGGTCTTCGTTGTGATTGGCTGGAGCGTTAACAGCTGGGGAGGAGGCTCGTCCACCTCTCGGCACCCGGGCCAATCACCGAGCAGTTGCGGAGCATCAGAGCCAATAGGAAGGTTCCCACCGCCTCAGCGCTTCAGCGAATCAGGAGGGAGGGAGGCGGGATGAATGAGAACAATGTGTTTCTTGAGAGGGTTATAGAAAAAACGTCCCTGCGGCTTAGCAAGATCCGGGTGAGGATCTTGCCAGCCAAGCCAGCCTATTGTTTTCATGAGTGGAGGCAATAAACAAATGTCAAAGAAATCTGGGTTTTCCTGTCGCCATCAGATAGGACACAAAGGGAGAGGCTTGGGTGGAAGTTCTTTGTGGAGAAGTTTGAAAGAAAAACGGGTTTTGGGCAGAAGGAACTTTTCGAGGGTCGTCTTCCCCCCATTGTTATGTGATTAGATGTTTGCCAGGTGAAAATCTCCTTTTGATGGCCCAACTCCGAAGTCAAAAAGGATTTTTCTGTTCTAATTTCCATGCAAATATGTCCTAAGATAAGAGTTCTTTCATGATTGCTGATCGCTATTTCCAGAGGCAGGGCAACTTCCTCCCAAGAAAGGGAAGGGGGCATAAAGGGTCAGGGCAAGGTCAGAGGCATGAGGAAATACATATAGTAATCATAAGAAAATCATATTTAGACACCCCCTCCACCCACTAGAGCAATTGATAAAAGGTCATTTTGATCATAACACAATATGAGTTCATCCTGGGAATTTCATGGGCGAAGGCAAGTCCATGACTAAAAATGAAGTCCAAAGAACATGGCAGAGAGTCAAAAAGTCACAAAGAGGAGCTTGATGGTTTCCACTGAGCCAAAGTTGGAGTCCTGTCGAAGCTAGTCCTTGGTTCTTGGAAAACTACAGCTCCTTCCAAGGACAGAAACCTGGTGGCCAGTCTGCTCCCTGGAAGCCTCATGGGGTACCTCATCAAGTCCCCAGGGCAGGGGGCTTCGGAAGGATGAAGGAATGGTGAAAGCGGCGGCAGCGCAGCAACAGGGAGGCTTGGCTTTTGACAATCAGCTGTTCTCTTTAAAATAATATTCTTAAAATTCAAAAGGTTATTCCCCGAGCGTAGGGGCCCAAAATACAAAAAGCGAGATAGCAGATAGTGTTAGAATTTAGTTAGGAGAAATAGGGCATCAAAATGGAGCCGATCCGTCATCTCGCGGATACGGGGGCCCGAGGGGTTTCCGTATCCGCGGTTTGGAGGAGCACAGATACGGCCTCCCGTGGCACAGAAAAGGTTATTTTCATGCATTTTCACAGTTTCAGGCAAGAAAGGGACACAAAGTATCAGTCTGGAGAAGTGAAAGTTACAATTTGATTAGTCTTTATTGGGAAGACTTTAATTGTTTTCCTGTATAAATAATATTAATATTTTTGATATTTTAACCTTCAAAATATTTTAGAAAAATATTTTAACAGTTTTAACAAGGAGACATTGATTATAATAATAAATAGGGTTGGATTGGATGACCTCTGCGGTTCCCTTTTAACTCCATGATTCTTTTCACTCTATCTCCGGCTTTCCTCCTCAAATGGGAATTTGTTTGTAGGGCAAATAGGAAACTTTTTGGAGTTTGTAAAAAAGTTTGGAAAAAGTTTGGAAAAAAATTGGAAAGGTTAGTTGTAAACCAAATATAATAACTTTTCTCCCCTAATCCCAAAGGATCAGAAGATTGAATAAATAATGTTTAATAAATAAATAATATCCCAAGCCAAAAAGGGACAGGGTGGGGGGAAAAAAACTTTATTGCTCCATTATTTATTCTGCAAACGGTCTTTTACGGGAAAATATCCACTGCCCTATTTGTTTTGCACTTGCACAACCTTGGCAGGCCATCTGTTTTGTAGATCCGGAGGTTATTACACTTAATATGCAAATAGAAGGAATGCAAAGATACCTAGTGCAAAGGTTGCATTCAAAGAATATCAAAAGCTCTGTTTTCCTCTTTTTGTTGTTGTTTTTCTTTTGTCCCTCCTTTCTCTTTCCTTCTTCCTTTTTCTTTCTTCCCTCTGTCCCTGTCTTCCTTTTCCTTTTCTCTTTTACTTTCCCTTCTTTTTCTCTTTCAGAGTTCCTTCACAATGGAGGAGTTGTGATCCAACAGCAGTCCCCATCATCCCCAGATAGTACAGAAGGTGGTAGTAGGTGATGGTGTCCTAATGGGTGGTCCCTTTGTCGCCATCGAGTGGACTTATTGGGAATTGCACCTCCTTGATAGTCTGTCCCAGGTCCAATTTCCGGTCCTTTGCTGCCATCAAGTGGCCACATGAAGAAACTGCACTCTCTGGCAGCTAAGACATTTAGGCCTCTCTCTACTTGATTACAGAGAGCAATTGGCTACTTTAATTAGTATTGAAAGGCCTTGCAGCTTCAAAGCCTGGCTGCCTTCTGCCTAGGCAGGGGATCCTTTGTTGGGAGGTGTTAGCTGGCCCTGACTGATTCTTGTCTGGAAATGCGAATCAAGGTGACCAATTGGAATATTACCATACAGCCCGGAAAACTCAGAGCAACCCAGCAATTTTCTCCATGCATGCACTTTTGGGATTTGGTGATGGGAGGTCTCTGAGCATGTGCAGAGTGCCATTTTCTCCATGCATACACTTTTGGCACTTGGGAATGGGAAGCCTCTGAGCATATGCAGAGTGCCATTTTCTCCATGCATACACTTTTTGCATTTCGTCATGGGAAGTCTCTGAGCATGTGCAGAGTCCCATTTTCTCCATGTATACACTTTTGGCATTTGGGGATGGGAAGTCTCTGAGCATGTGTAGAGTGCAATTGCTGGGCTTGCTTTGGGAATGGGAAGCCTCTGAGCATGTGCAGAGTGCCATCTCCTCCATGCATACACTTTTGGCATTTGGTGATGGGAATCCTCTGAGCATGTGCAAAGTGCAATTGCTGGGTTCGCTTTGGGAATGGGAAGCTTCTGAGCATGTGCAGAGTGCCATTTTCTCCATGCATACACTTTTGGCATTTGGGAATGGGAATCCTCTGAGCATGTGCAAAGTGCAATTGCTGGGCTCGCTTTGGGAATGGGAAGCTTCTGAGCATGTGCAGAGTGCAATTGCTGGGTTCGCTTTGGGAATGGGAAGCTTCTGAGCATGTGCAGAGTGCCATTTTCTCCATGCATACACTTTTGGCATTTGGGAATGGGAATCCTCTGAGCATGTGCAAAGTGCAATTGCTGGGCTCGCTTTGGGAATGGGAAGCTTCTGAGCATGTGCAGAGTGCATTTTCTCCATGCATACACTTTTGGCATTTGGGAATGGGAATCCTCTGAGCATGTGCAGAGTGCAATTGCTGGGCTCGCTTTGGGAATGGGAAACCTCTGAGCATGTGCAGAGTACTATCTACTCCATACATATACTTTTGGCATTTGGTGATGGGTAGCCTCTGAGCATGTGCGGAGTGCAATTGCTGGGTTCACTTTTGGAATGGGAGGCCTCTGAGCATGTGCAGAGTGCCACTTTCTCCATGCATACAGTTTTTGCATTTGGTCATGGGAAGCCTCTGAGCATGTGTAGAGTGCAATTGCTGGGCTCGCTTTGGAATGGGAAACTTCTGAGTATGTGCAGAGTGTCATCTCCTCCATGCATTCACTTTTGGCATTTGGGAATGGGAAGTCTCTGAGCATGTGCAGAGTGCCATCTCCTCCATGCATACACTTTTGGCATTTGGGAATGGGAAGCCTCTGAGCATGTGTAGAGTGCAATTGCTGGGCTCGCTTTGGGAATGGGAAGCCTCTGGGCATGTGCAGAGTGCCATCTTCTCCATTCATACACTTTTGGCATTTGGGAATGGGAAGCCTCTGAGCATGTGAAGAGTGCAATTGCTGGGCTCGCTTTGGGAATGGGAAGTCTCTGAGCATGTGCAGTGCCACTTTCTCCATGCATACACTTTTGGCATTTGGGAATGGGAATCCTCTGAGCATGTGCAGAGTGCCACTTTCTCCATGCATACACTTTTGGCATTTGGGAATGGGAAGCCTTTGAGCATGTGCAGAGTGCCATTTTCTCCATGCATACACTTTTGGCATTTGGAAACGGGAATCCTCTGAGCTTGTGCAGAGTGCAATTGCTGGATTCACTTTGGGAATGGGGAGCCTCTGAGCATGTGCAGAGTGCCACTTTCTCCATGCATACGGTTTTTGCATTTTGTCATGGGAAGCCTCTGAGCATGTGCAGAGTGCCATTTTCTCCATGCATACAGTTTTTTCATTTGGGAATGGGAAGCCTCTGAGCATGT